AGTCATTACTAAGTCATTTAAAACGAAAATATTAATGGAAATTCGAACGCTAAAATGTATCAAATTCTTTTGTCTATATATTTGTGGAATTTAAACATACGTTCTCTTTGAAAAAACGAATTCAATGCCTATTATACGTATAAGGGATGAAGATAAAAATGTTGTAAGTATTGAAAAACATAGTAAAATATGTACCTACAAGCATAGAAGAAAAAAAATGTATACATCGTTCATATTTTAAGAAAAATTAGTGTCTTACATCACATGGATCACTCTGTATACAAACACTTATTGAGTTAGTTGTATTTATAGGAATAATTTTTTTATGAATTACTATTGATAGACATGGAGACAGACGGCACAAGAAATGAGGCTGCAAGAACTGTACGACAAAAATTTCACCTATAAAGCTATACAAGTTATTTACAAGAAATGTTAACGACAATCAACGTTTCGAGCATAGGCTGGTTCTTTGAGAAATATGAAAATATTTTTTATTCAAATGAAACCGACAAACGAAAACATAATATTGGTACATAAACCTTATCAGCAATTTTTCAATTCAATACTTTATATATTTAAACTGAATACATATGATTACGCAACTTCAACAGAAAGTTTAGATTAAACAACTTAAGCTCACTTTACTTCATAGCCTGTTTTTAATAATTAACTTAATCATTACCTAGGTATATTTATGCATTTAAATCCTAATATTTCACATATATTTTATTATTAATTTTTATAAATTTTTTTTTCACAAATCCTGTAATTCTCTCTCTATATATATATTATATTATTATTCTTAACAATTATTTTATTCTAATGAATCATATTATTATCAATTAAGTTTTTATTATCTTAACTATTATATTTAGATAATAAAACAATGCGCTACTCGTAAATTGAATCTTGAAGGCAAAGATATAGCAGACATATCTATTCCAATTTTGTACATAGTTAAAAATAATAAGCCAAGTCGTTTACATTTAGTAGGAATTCATCAAAGCCAAGTGTAACTAGTTGGGATGACTCGGAAATTATTATTTTCCGAGACAAAGAGTTCTGCTTTACTCTTTCAGTTTTAGCATCTCTACCTCTTCTATTTTAATAAACTGTTACGTTGCTTAGTAATAGTTGAACCAAGGAAACCCTCCAAATGTATTCTCGAGTGTACTAATTACCAAAAAGGCTTACATACAACAAAAGTATACGACTTATTGACTAGGTGTGTTAAACGCCCGGGAAACCCTTTCTTATGTCAGAAATCAAAAGAAGTTTCTTTGAATTCGTTAATTGTGAAAACACCCATCCAGCTCCAGATCTCAATAATATTTTTTTATTAAATTAGAACGTCAACGGACTAAAAAAATATAATAAACTGGTATTAAAGGTGTATATTAGAAGTATGGCCCGCTTCCTGTTTGTCAGCATAATAGAGCAACGACGCGACGGTATAAGAAATGTGTAAACCGTGCGGCGTCCTTTCGTCGATTCAACGAAGACCAGGCGGCGGCAACTATGATACTGGACGCCGCGCCGGACGGTGTTATTTCGGCCATGAGACCCTGGTACCATTTTCGAAACCCTCGGATAGGACCTACGATGCGTCGAGCTAGCATGACCACGACCACGGTTATCTTGATAACCGTGACCACGATGGACGCTGGTATGGTTTCGCAGAAAACACACTGGGATCTAAAACCGAGAAAACCAGAAACCGAAAATTAGTTTTATTTAGATTTTAGGTGAGAAGGCATGAAGATGTCGGTAAGCTCTCGGAATATTATTAAACATTTTTATCGACTTTGATTTAGGTACGACAAACAAACGATTAATTTTTTTCTCTGAAACGTTTACAGTTAAAAAATATACACATATTGCACGAATAGCGTTAGAAAGAGGTCACGATGATATTATCCTATTCCATTATCACTACCAATACGACTCTTATGAGTTAATTCGGCGTCAAGTAATTTAAATAAATAATATCTATACTTCAAACGGCTAACGTTGTACGCGATTTTTGATTTTTTTTTATAACAAGTAGGTTCATAACTGCAATAATATTATAGAACAATAATAATATTAATACATTTTGAATTTAAAAATGGCGCCAATTGTTTGAACCATTATGAAAACTTTTATCACGATCCCACCGCTATGAGCACGGTTGTCGGACGCCACACCCTATAAAATAATTCCTTTGTTTCGAGTGCGATGAATATTCTAACAAAATCGTACCAGGGTCCCATGTTCATTCGGCGTCAGATGTACGCTGCTCGGCTCAATGACAGGATAATTTTAAATTTGTTGGTTTTCACCTACTGTAGGAAAGTTAAAACATACCGTAATTCAAAATAAAAATATATTGTAATCATATACTTTCCATTATTGGTAAAATAAAAGTTTTTAAGCGACGGTTTAAACGCATGAGAATGGTTGGAATATCAACTTGACAGTGCGCCAAGGTAAATTTCAAGAATACCAGTGTATGAATACCTACATGAACCAATTCATTTGGGTTTTCTCACCCTCATATCTCTGCTTCCTCCTAATATGGACTTTTGAAATTTGAAACATACATTTAACTTAAGTATCTTTGGACACTGCACAAATTGAGCCTTTTCAAAGAGGGAGAAATATCAAAGTTTACATTTTTGTAAGGTACTTACACACTCATCATCAAAATTATAAGGCACTTGCCGTATTAGTAGAAACCTGAAAATTAGCACAAAGGTACATGTTTATACTAAAATTTAATCTGATGTCCATACTCTAATGTGCAGTACTACAAGAATTAAGTTAATTTGGTGTCAAGTGATTTAAAGAATTTTCAAATTAATGAAATTAACACGATTTTTGAACTTTTTTTATAACAATTAGGTTCATAACTATAGTAATATAGACTATAGTATAACAGTATTAAAACACATTTTAAACTTAAAAACGAGCGACATTTAAAATTATCGAGCGACATTTTCGGACGCCACACCCTATAAAATAATTCCTTTGTTTCGAGTGCGACGACTATTCTACCAAAATCGTACCAGGGCCTCATGTTCATAGGCTATAGCTCACCGACTTAACCATCCGGCGTCCGATGTATGCAGCTCGGCGCAACGATAGGATAATATTAAATTTGTCGGTGTTCGCTTACTGTAAGTACACTATAGAAAAGTTAAAATTGTACCGTAATTAAAAATAAAAATATATTGTAATCATATACTTCCCATTGTAGCTAAAAAAAATCGCCCCTCTTCACAAAGACTTTCAAATCACATATTGAACAATCTTGAAGGTCTTTTCACAAGTTTTTAATCGACGGTAGTTAAAATCGTGTCTTTAAAATTCAGAGTTATGCGATATTAGAGAAACCCTATTAAGTCTTGTGTACCCATTTTAATTATTTAAAAATGGTTATCGACCAGTCAAAATGTTCAGTAAATTATTCTTTAATAAAAAAATCAACTTAATTCACATGTTACCTACTATTTATACTTAAAAAGTTAATAAAGCTTTGCCGAATACTAAAAAAAAAAATTGAGTGTTTTCTATAGGGTATTTTGTACTCAGTCTGCAGTCAGCTTAACTATAAATATATAATTAATTCGTAGTTAATAGTTATTACATATAATTACAATTTAGATAATTTAAACCAGTTATTTGATACAAAATAAAAATGGTGCCCCGCCAAAAGTACAACTTATAATTTCATGGTCGAAATGAGATATTTTCATAGGTTTAAGGTGCCTAAAGGTTGTAATAAAATTTAGCGTAAATATAACATTGGCATTACCATTATTCTGTGTTCTTATTAAGTCTAATTTCCATTCTGAAAAATGTTATGAATTCCTCATTAATCATTATCTTTTCTATTGATTGTTCTATATTATTTTCCAATATTTGACAATAGTTAAAAAAAAATAATAAGAAAAAATAGCCTTTATGGATTACAAAAATTGAAAAATAATTTAAAAAAAAATTAAATATCAAAATAGACATTTTTTCCTGTGTGACTATTTATGTTCACAGATTTTATCATAAATGGTTTCAGTGAAAAGTTGTCTATATAATCACCGTGAGGCCCCATAAGAGTTTTTATATGTAGCTACTTAATTGCTTAATTTATTTAATATCAATATATTTATAATTAAAATAAAATACAAATTCAGTTTTACATAATTTTAAAAATGTGTATGAATTTAAAATAATTGTTTAACAACCAGTTCGATTTTTTAATAATATATTATAGTAAGTACATTTTTATTATTTTTTTTGTAATTTTTCTCTGGAATATCTGTTGTCTACTTAAATGTATCAAGTACAAAAGGTAGTACAATGTTAAGTTACAACTAACGATCAACAAATACTATTTAAGTATAACTATAAGATTTAGACCCTCGAAACTTTAGTCTATTTGCGCCTAATATATAACGTTACAATTTTTATTTCACCAAGTTAAAATTAATAGAAAATGTTGAATTAATATTTTGTATTGCCCTAAACTAAAAGACTTATGCTTTTGTATTCGACTCAATTTGGCCTCAAGATTGTCAAATGAAAAACAATAATACTATACCTACTAAAAAATGACTCGGTCATAGTCGTACATAAACATTATTACTTTAAAGTAAATTAATTAACGCTAGTACAACAATTACTAATTATTTAAAATATCATATAATTACTATATAGGTAATCCATTTATTGGAATAAACTTTCACTTAAATTTTTAATTTTCCATGTTTCCGGGTAACTTTTCCAATTTTTCATGGGAAAGCCTTATTCGGACTATTACAAACATAAAAAAAAAAAAAAATGAGACAAATCGGTTAGGAACAGCATTACATTTTTATTTATATAGAAGATTACAACCTTTCAATAATTACATCTATGATAATGAGCAATTTAAATACAATTTTTTTTTTTACAAAACTGAATGCTATTAACAGTTAATGTCAGAGATGAATTAAATAATTCAAAGTACATGACTAAACAATGTTGGGGTGGAAAAATAGTGTAAAGCCGTATCTAGTAATAAGAACTGTTCAAAAATCAGTTAAATACTTAATTGTATTAAATTCAACTATAACATTAAAACTAGTTTTGCTTTATTAGAATATATTCCCCTTTAAATTTTAAATGGCACATGTTATAAACTAAATACATTATTAAATCGATGGTAACAATGCAAAAGTACAATAATTCTTCAACAGTAAAAAAATAATTTTGTTTGTTAGCATAAACGACACGACAAAAATTTAATATTACTTGATAGGTAAAGTTGTTAAAGCAAAATAGAAAATTTAACACAGATCGTAAAACAAGTTTGGTATACCACGTTGGTTTTTACCAGTATATTCAATAACATATTTAACACACAAATAAGTACCTAAAATAAATTGTACATTCATATTAGATTGCGACAATGGAAATAAGGTTCTGTTAAATAAGAGTTTGGGTCTTAAAGCAGTTTACTTTATACATTTTTTTAAAAACATGATTTGTCTAAATGTTTAAAAAAAACAACAATTCATCAAAATTGTTAATGTCGTAATGTAAATTAATTAAAATTAACAGTCGGTAATTATCATATTTTATCTCTGCGTACAAATGCGATCGATTAACATAGGTGAAAATTGATCGGGGGAGAACTAATAGATCTTCATCAGCACCGACAGATTTATGCACACATTGCATTTAAGGATGATTCTTGTGTCTCCTAAAAATGAAAAATTGTTTATAAATAGTGTTTGTGGACAATATTACATAATCAAATTTCTTTGAATTGAATTAAGTATGCAGTAACCAAATATTAATATTATATTATCGTATTAAAATGTTCACCAATTGAAAGAGAACTCTATAATTTAGGACATATCCATGTCTTTTTATATGACATCACGGAGCCATTGTAGAGTCCATCTTTAAAGCAATGAAGATAGACTCTGCAATGTCGGCACATACAAAAAGACACAGATACATATAAAAATTATCAATTTAATACTATATTTTGTTAACATTGTGGATTAGTCACCTTTGCACAAATTAAATGGCATTTTAAACTATTTCATCGTGCTTAACAAATAAACACATATCTTTTACGCTTTGCATAATTTGTTGTAGTTGAATAATAACAGTGACATCACTGTTTGGTAATAAATGTTTTCTAAGTCATAAAAGACATAGTTTATCATACTTGTATCCAGGTCGCTCACTTCCAGCTCGTATGGCTCTTTGTCCAGCAAATGCTGTATAAACTGGAACGGTAGTAAATTAATCAGCACCGTACGTCAAATTAACCAATCCACAGTCAATATGACTGGATCGTAAAGAAAGTATAAATAAAGCTATTTAAATAATAATCCGAAATTAAATAATAATATATGATCATTTACTAACCAATAACGATTCCATAAATCATGTTTTAACAGATGTTGGTAAAAAAAATGTATAAAAAAATTCTCCGAGCAGGTCAAGGGCGCTTATAATCGTTTATCTTTTTCATCCATGCATCAGAACAGGAAACAGTTTTATCCTAAAATAAAAATGTATGATATTTTATTGGCCTTTGGCTTGAACTGATGTTTAAAAATATTTAGTTACAGTTTAGATTGTTCGATAAAATATTTAAGTATTTGGTTCTAAAAAAAAAATGATTAAACAGAAATATCAATACTTCTAAATGTAATTTATTAAAACCACAATATTAAATAGACTCAAAAAGTATCAGGGGCATACAATTTATACAATAATAAATACTTGTGTGTTACCTCTCAAGAAAAATTATTTAGTTGGATACAATCTTCTTGGTGATATTGTCATCAGCGTTATCACTAAAATTTGAAGTTGTAAAATGTTTGTTGTTGCAGACAGTAAACTAGCTGTAATGTTGGCCGTTTCTAAAAAATAAATGATAGATTAAATAAAAAAATTAATCAGTTTTCATATAGATTAGTTAAATAACATTTCTGTATTATTACTTTCAACTTTTTTTCAAAATACCCATTTAAATATCTGTCAATAAACTTCTCTAGTTTACTTTGCCGAACAGTTGACTAGTAAGAGTAAGAGATTACTTATCGTTTCATTCAACAAAATACCTTATCATATAATTAAAAAAAAAAAAGATGAATAATAACAAATACAATCATTTTGTAGTGATAACACTTTACCTTAATTTTTGTATTAGGTTCAGAGCAGTTATACAATCTTACTGAACAGCCAACAGTTGACCGAAATTGGTTTTTTTGTTTCTCGTGCTCCACAGCTTGCCAATGTCTTAGCACTCATTTTGCGAAGTACTAATATGATGATCGCTTCCTTGTATTGACATTAAGCACTATCAATAAAAATTAATATTTTATTAATTTGTAATTATATTTTATTATTGATATTGTTCCTTCAGAGAAATCTTGATCTGATGCTTTGTATTTGCAGATTTCTCGTAGAAGGTTATGTAAAATAAATGCATAATTATTTTCTTTGACTACCTGTGATACTCAAGTACTCTTTCTGCTTTCAGTCGATCCCACAAGTATTGATGTTTGAAATTTCTCATGTAGATATACATTAAGTTACGATACTTTGTAATCAGGACCTAATTACCTAGTAAATCCAGTGACGTTTATGGCTTGTAAACAAAAGTTGAATAAAAGGTCAATTCAAAATTTGAATCTTCTTCTCCGTACTCAGGTTTTCCATCTGTAATTATTACCAAAAAAGTTTAACAAAATGTAAGTATAAATTTAAAAAAAATAAAGCTCAATTGACCACAAATGTGTTAATATAAAATAGTTTTTACTCTTTTATAATTTCAATTGTATATATTTTATTACAAACAAATACAAGTTTGTTTACCGTAGACAGATAGTTTTGATTTAAAAAGAATTAAAACAATTTGTTTATACCTTACTGGTAACTTGAGTTATCCTATCGACTAGTGTAAAAATTAGTAGTACTAAATGCAGTATAATAATATTAACCAACCTTTGTTTTTGAGTCGATATCCAATCATTTTTACACGACACTAATACAATTGATTTACATAGAAAAGTACTAATAGCAAGAACTGTAGAAGAACTACTGTCTACTGTGTAAGTATGATGAATATTATACATTTAGTCATTTGTTTTCTAAGAAAAATAATTACAATACTGGCGGGTGCCTTGTGAAGTTCAATCCTACAGTAATATTATAGCTGAATAGTGATTATCGATTTGAGATTATTATCAGTCACATCTTATCAAATCTTATCAGTAATAATAACACAGAACAAACCGAAGGGAAACTTATCTATTTAGTTTATGGGATAATGAGCTTTTCTAAGAATTCTAAAAAACGATTGATTTCAGGTAATTAAAAAAATAATAAAATATGTATCAATTTGCCCTAATTATAGCTTTTAAATAAAAAACGAGGCCTAAGTTTAATTAAATAAGTAAATACATTTAGTAATTTAAGGTTTAAAATTCAATACATTTAAGACTTAAAATGCAATTATATTTTACGTTTTATATCTGAATAAATCTGTGTTACTTAATTTTAATGAAAGTTTTGAAAAATATATTATCGAGTATGTAACCCTGTTTATGTAATTGGACTTAATACCCTTTCCCAAGCTCACCGGAAATTTAACAATTTATTATATTGCCTAAAAATGTATGTTCTTAATAATTTTACAAAATATTATTCAAAAACATAAAAGATATTATAAATATTTCCTATAAATAGTTTGCAAACGGCCATAACACTTCTCTTCAACTACTCACCCAATTTTCTATATAATTATAGATACTAATAATACCTATGTACCATTTATCTTTTCTGCTTCTTATATAAACAATTACCATAGATTATACTATTACTATAGGATAGCCGATAGGAATATTTCGTTCATGTAATTTTATTTCTGTTATTAAATAAATATATTAAAAATTTGGTTAACTATGTTTGAAAAAAAAAGTGTAAAAGCTTAAAAGTCGATATCAAAGTGAAGGGTAAAAATAATAAAACAGCCGTGCTGCAATCAGAAAGTGGGGATCATAGCCAAACGCATTGTACAATACAATATAAAGGATAAACAATAAGTGAATAAACACAGTGTAAAGTACACGTGAACCGATTGTAAAAACAAACTCGGAAAATATTAATAAAGAAAAAAAAGTGTATTTATCTATCCGTTGCTTAGTGACGACCGCTAGAAATTGCATACATAGATGTATATATTATACACGTCTGAATTTAAATCAATTATAATAATTTATTGTAACAATGATGCAACGCCGTCGATTTTATCAGCTCGTTTTCCACTTGTTCGTTTCGGTAGGAACCACCAGACGAGCCGTGGCCGAAAAAGCACAACGCGCTTCTTATCAACAACGGGTACAGGTCATGACTTCCATGACTTCTTCTCTGGTCACGGCGGGATACAAGTAAAACGTCCAGGACTTCCGGCAAACTTCAACTTACAAAACAGATTGTTCGCTTCATCGTCGGACCAAACCCGAGTTTGATTTATGGGCTTTAAATCGTCCGGAGCACAATTGAACGCCAAAAGTGGTATTGTTTTCAACTGGTGTGGGATATTTCCGCATCCGGTCCCGGTTCACCGTTTCCGCAAAGCCATAATCAACGCTGTGAACCGTCAGCCACTTCTGTCAGTTTTCTTCGTACCCGTTTACAATCTTACATTGATACCGTTGCGTTGGTTCGATGCCAAAACCGAGTAGACTTGGCGATGGTTGTGGCCTATGTTGACGCTGATGTGCTTGGTGTTTGCCAGCTCTTCTTTGATCATCGACAACACATTGCTGTTAGGTTGGAGCTGTACATAGTAGTCTGACGGCGAGTTCACGTCCGTCACTATAACCGGCTCCACTACGTTCCGGGGATATTGCTTTGACAGCGGTTTTATATTACATCTAAAATATTATATTGTTATTATTGCAATTATTTTTAACCAACAATAATACATGTTGTATATTACATTAGAATTTACACAAATTTATTTATTCGTCTATTATAGGTACAAATGAATTGGAAATAAACAAAACTTAAAATGTAATCTATATTATTTTAATATGTAAAAAAAATTAAAGTTACGAGGTTGGTTCGCATTACCAAAATTTACCACTGCTGTTTTAATTTTGGACAACAGATTTAGAACATAATTTATTACTTTTTATAGGGTTTACTTGAGAGTAAGTCATGCATTAGGCAGCCTGCTGGACAATGCACACATGACTGAAATTTTGAAGCACACCTCAGCCTGCCGAATGGGTTTTAATTTTTTGCTGTAAAACTTAACATCCCTTATATAGAGTATATCTACTTAGGGTTAAGCTCAATGGCAAATAGGGCTTGATCATAAGGAGGATATAAGTATAATACATAATATGGATTATGTAATAGAATATAAAACATAATATAGGTATTTATCTGGTATGTATGAGGACGGACAATTTTTTTTTAAGCTTTGTTCATGGCCTCTTTATAGTTTTTTACAGTAGATAGTGAGCGCCAACGCAATGCCATTTAAATCACCTCTTCGACCATGAGTCCTCCTTTACATAAGAATCTGGGATGGCTTGAGTTAAAACTGTTGTTATTTTAATATTTTGTTTTTTGTGTTTTAAAGATGACATTTAAATTTTGAAGGAATATATTTCCTTTATTTTTTTTTTATCAGCCTAGTATAGGCCAAAAATATTTTTTTATATGTATTTTTTAAACTTTTTTGCTATAAAGATTAATTAAAGAAGGTAAGAGCAAGCAATAGGTCTAGACCACCTAAAATCAAATAAATAAATATACCTTGCGTTTTGTTAAGACAATCTCGCTTTTGGAAAATATATTTTAGAATGAAACTTTTAGTTTTTCATTAGGTTCCGAGCTGAACTTTTTTCGACAAATTTCGATTAAACAATGTAACTTTTTTAGTTTTTGTTGTGGATTACTGTTTATCACCACTTAGTTAAAATGATTTAATACATAATTAATTGTAATTGTATTAAATGCAATAACATAATAATTAACAATAGGGTAAGTTAATCGTACCCATCGTACATATAGTATTATTGAAATACAAGCTTTTTCAAACATAGTTAATCAAAATTTTAAAATATTTATAGAATAACAGTAATAAAATTTAATAAAATGAAATATTCTTATTCCATAGTGATAGTATAATCAATGTTTATTAATTGTATTAAGAAGCAGAAAAGATAAATGGTACATAATAATAGTATCTATAATATAGAAAATTGGGTAAGAAGTTGATGAGATGTGGTATGGCCGATTGCAAAATATTAATAGGAAAATATACCTAATAATTTTATAAATATCTAAATAACACATCTTTTTTCACATATTGATATTGTGATTATGTACCTTAAAGGAAATGACATTAAATATAGAAAGAAATCATCGAAATTATCATTTGTTAGAAATTCGCCAAAAACTGTAGCGGATCTTTTAATATTTTGAAATTTAAAATTAAATAATATGCATTCAACTTGCGTTATACATTTTATTTCAACCTTATGTTTACACAAAATGTTAACGATTTATTTTCTTACATTATAATATACAATATATTTTCAACTATTTCTATAGTTTTATATAATTTTCTATATTATCTTATAGGAAACAAGTTGTTTTTCATGTTGTAATATAAATTAATTGCAAACAACTGTAGGTATCATTCATTATTAAATTTTAACATTATACATTACAAAAACTACTATTACAGAAATATTATATTTATTTTTCGTAAATAAGTTGGGTTTTAAAAGTATTTTGTTATGTTATTTGTGTACTCAAATGTTTGGAACTATTTATTTTCTTGCATTGTAAAATCTAGTATCACAGTAAAATACCCAAAATACCAAAAAAACGTGAAAATACAAAGCTAAAATATCATAGCTCCCAATTATATGACAAAAATAATTAAATTTAGATTTTTACATTATTGGATATCGATAAAAGTAGGAATTACCATCAAATTTGAAATGTATATTAATATACAACTATTCGAATATTCAAATCTTTAAAAATAATATATATATAATTATTGAAACATCGAGTTTCTACCGTGCAAGAATTAAATTGGGTCAAACATTTAAATATAAAAAAACTGCAAAACAGAATATGTGCCTAAAAACAACTCGTTTTCGATAAAAAAAAAATAAGTAATAAAACTACACAAAATTGTTTTTGTAAAATAGGAAGATTCATGTAATATTCAAAGTTTGTGATACTTATAAGTCCTTACTATTTGTTTAAATTACAATAGTCGCTGTGAAAACGATAAATGATCTTACAAAACTTGCCTTATCTCACTCCACCAAGCACCTGCACACAATACATTTATAGTTACTATAAAATAACGTTCTACAATACATTCAAACACAAGCATCAAAACAAAATTCGCTATAACAATTTTGCTCGTATTTTCATTTATTTACACTGCCTCAATCAAAGCATATAACAATTTACTTTCAATTAAAAAAACTACAATAAAACTATTCACGTTTTCTTGTAAAAATTGAAAATTCTTATTATGTTAAAACATAATAGATTATAATTAAAATCCATTAAACAAATGCTCTGAATAAGTTAGAAATTTGAAAGTGATTTTATCAGAGAGGACTAGTACAGTAGAGTATAGGCACAATGGAATCAAAGCATAGAGGGGACGGAGAGGTCACAGGTCTATTGGAATTATTATAAAATGCATAAAATCACTTTCAAATAAACGCTTTGATACTTTGACCCTTGAAATATTATTTGTAAATTTCTACTCGATCCGACTCGTTTTCTCAAAATTATAGCCAGTAAAAGTTCTAACTTTTAACAAGTTATGTTTTTTTTCAAATTTTAACTATGAGGAAGTAAAATATTTACAATATTAAACCCCTCTTTCCTCAAGTACCAAATAGATGGAATTTGTGATTTATAGAGTTGATACCCGAAGGAATTGGTCCAGTATTAAAAAAAATACAGTCTATACAGACAAAAAAAAAAGCACACATAATTGTAAAACCAATAGCGTCTCTGCTCCACATCAAGGATAAAACATTTTTCTGGGTTTTTGCGTAAAAGACTTTAAAAGTGGTCAAATTATATGTTTTTGGGGTCGGCGATTGTGAATTTAATATCATTTTTCAATTTTACTCGGCCAAAAAAAA